AAACAAGATTAAAAGAACATATCAACAATATTTCGAAAGATACTTCTCAACTCTCAGTTATTTCACAACATCGCTTGAATTTTGACCATTCTTTTGATTGGGATAAAATACAGATTTTAGATCACAAACCGAATTTTTATAAGAGACTAATTTCTGAAACAATTTATATAAAACAACAACAACACGGGCTCAATCTAGTTACTGATTCTGAATCGTTAAATAGTGCCTATTTTAGTCTCTTAAATAAGATTTCTGCATCTGTATGTTAAACATAACGATATTTTCTATCCCCTCTACTACTTATTGATATAAATATGTTTGTCTCTTGACTTTGTTCAGCATTTGACTCTTTACCGTTAAATTGTAAGTTCCTCTTGACTTTTATTTTATAGTGAGTTTTGGTGCGTGACAATAATATTTTACATTTTTATATTTATATTTCAGTTTTATTTTACTTTGTGACACCTTTACAAGGTATGTCCATCTACCTATTTACGACAATGACAGCCACATTTTGTATTTAATTTGTATATTGCGACTGAAGAAGACATCTGTGTATGTCAAAACGTTTTGCATTGTATATTTGTATTTTAAATATTAAGTAAATTTGCACATTACACCTAATAACACTGCTCGATATTGACCTTATTAATTGATATATATTTTATATTGTTTTATTTATTAAATTTTTTTGTTATTAACTTTTTAATAAACAACGAGCGATGGTTAAAACTTTTTGATTGTTACTCAGGGAGGTATCCTTGACAATAAATGTCAAGCTCATTCAAATCAGAGGGTGGTGTCCTTTTGTAAATATTTACCGTCCGACTGAGCGCCTTCCTCGCCACACCTACACGGAAAAAAAGTTTTGCTATTATATGGTCAGCAAGAAAAATGGTTGACCTTACGAAATTGTTTGTTTCATCAACAAAATGTTTTGTTAGTGAAACAAAAAGTTTACTAAACTTAACAAATGTTTTTTTGCTGGCCATATAGTAACTAATTTCTTGCTATTCTAGCAAATCTTTTTTTCCCGTGTACTTTCACGCACACACAAGTCACTCTCTTACATATTATCTTATTTTTTTCGAGAACTAGTCGTTCTATGCAAAAAATGCATAGGACATAAATTATGTATTTTTTCAAGAGCTACAACGTTTATTTGAAACATTTTTTGTGCTATAAATATTTATTAAAATAATTTTTTAAAAGCGATAATTTTTTAGTTTTGACCTTGAAAATGACCTTGTCGGTGATTTTCACTATCATATTCGTAATCAGCGCACCAAAATGCAGTAGTATACCAATCAACAGAAAAATTGTATGTTTTCGGAACTGTACCCCAATGGTGTACAGAGGTGGCGGTGATAACCGTTGTTCATTTTGTGGTGTGTGCAATGTGACTACCTTGACCTGCGGGCAATGCTTCGCTCACACGTTCGCAGTGCAAAGTATAAATCGATGCCCCACGTGCTGGGCAGCCTTGCATGGCATTTATGCATGTTTATGCCGATTGTCCCCACTGTCGTGCGGGCGATATTTGCAGGTCCCCAGCTTGTTAAACCAGTTGGATTTTGCATCTACCGGAAAGTTTATTTTAATTTTCTATGAAATGTTTTATTCAATTTGCATGTACTTGTAATAAATTTTTGAGATGTTATACTGAAATTTTATGTGTTAGTCAATAAGGCAAAAAAATTCAGATATGGCATTCAATTCGTGCGTTACAATTATTTAAATTTTCTTTTTGTCAAAGTTTTTTAATTATGGAAAATTATTGCAAACTATTCTTACATATAACGTACATGACTACTCCGCACTGTGCTTACGTAAGTGAGTGATACGTGCGTAATACATTACATATACAATATGCACTATAAAAACTGCAATATAAATATGCTCAATGATCTCTTAAGTCACGTTGCACTGCAACATAGAAATATTCAAAAAATAAAAGTATCTATATTTAAAAAATGTCTATCTTTGTCGTACTATATAACGCAAGATAGTTCCTTATATAAAAGATGTTAAAATTAAATTTTAGAAACAACTTATTCCAAAACTGTATTAATGTGCGATTACATAGAGATGTTCTTACGATAAAACTTTGTACACATCTATAGATAACTACATGAATGTAGAAATGTTCAGTAACGGTCTAAAACCGATTTTAAAGAGTGAAACACTTATCATGTGTAACACGGTTTTGCGTTTTTCTCGATGTATCTTGAAAACTAAAGACATCAAAAAATGTTTTATACAAAAGTTTTATGGTAAGAATACCTCTATTTACCTACATTAATAGAATTGTTAAAAAAATTTTGTTGTATACATTTGTTAAACAATTTTTTTTTAATTAGTTCTTAAAAATTCAATTAATATAAATAGATAGAGAACGTTTATCTATAAAATTTTTGTATAAATTATTTTTTAATATCTCTAATTCTTTTCGAGATAAATTGAGAAAAGTGAAAAGCCGCTCTACATATGAGGGATGATTTCACACCCTCAAACCGTTTTTTGGCACGAACAAAAAATAGTTTTGTGTTACGGATGAACTACTTTACATGCACACAAAGTTTCAGAATTTTCTGAATTTCCGGGTTGTCTAATCTCCCGTGTTAATACCGACAATAGAAATTTATAAACTTATAAACTGATGTTTTAAAACCTTAAATTTTTTCATTGTAAATTGTATTTACTGCACTACATAAAAAATGCTATAATATAAAAAAATATATATAGTGCTTTTAAAAATAGATATGGGCAAATCCGCTATAGTTTTAACTTTTGACGGACTGTTTCATACTAATGAATCTGAGTTATTTTTTATATACACAAGACGTATTTTTTCTTCGTACACTATCTAATAAGAATTATAAGAATGCAGAACGTTTGTGTTGCTGGCGTTTAAGGTTGTATTCAGGGTAAGATCTCAGTCAAAAGTTTCAGAAACATAGCGTAAACCGAACCTATTTTAATATTTAGATAATAATTGTTTGCTGGAAAAGTATTATTTGTACTAAAATAAGTTACAAAAACTATTTATTATACTTTTAATAACTATAGAAAAGTTTTTACGTATTATTTGTGCTATTTTGATGTTCACTTTTGATACTTTTGAGTAGGATTATACTCTACTTGCAACATAAGATAAATGAAAAACTGGAAATGTATTAATCATAAAAGTTCGTTAAAACGTAACAATTGATGTATACAATTACAAATATAAGTGTTTTATGTATATTAAATATATTATTTTATTAATTTTAGCAAAATATAAATTTATATTTTATGTGATATTCTCGAAATGACTATTTCTTTGAGTGGAATTTGTTTTTAAGATATTTATTAATAACTGCAAAAAATTGCAAAATTACGGCATATCTACATCTACAGTTATTTTTTAATTTATATCAAAATATCATGAAATCCCATAAGAACTCGTGTTAAATTAAAATCGTACTAACTTTTTAACAAGACTCGCAAAAGAGCTGAAATTTTGCACAATGTTTTTTTTTTATATTATCTACTGACTGGCAAAATTTAAATAATCTGACATATCTTTTATCTTACTCTGAATACAACTTTAAAAGTACACCAAGTCGATAAAAATATAAAAAATTGTACAATTTATTGTGTCCCTTTCGAATTTGTAATTTACTCTTAATAACTTCGTACCTGCGCCGTGTTATATAACGCTTTCGTAATAAATAAACAAATTAGTTATTGCATTTATACATCTTTTTCTTGGAAGTCGATTACGTGCCATGTAACCGTACAAAAAATGGTGGCCGCTGAAAAACTTTTCTCTCTGTTTTTGCAAAACATTAATTTTTGTAAAGTTAATAATATTGCATATACGCCGTTAAGTTAATTGACTAACTGAGGTACTGAAGTTGTAGCAAACACAAAAACGAAAAATTTAAGACATTGTTGAAATTTGTGCCTCAAATGAAACACACATCAGAGTATCAAAGATTGCTTTCAAAAGCGTAAATTTATTGAAAAATTTACAAATCACCTTGGCACATATTCCAAGAAAAAGTTTTTTAGTCTATATTAACTGTAAACTCTTTCTTATACCATAACTTACCACAAAATCCATGTGGTCACAATTTTCAAACCCAGTTTTATTAGTTATGACGTTAAGAGTGCGTAATTTAAACATGATTGCAATGTAAAACTAGAAAGAAATATAAGTCGACCTCAATCAGATAAACTTTGCACCGTTTATTTAAAATCATTAACGCGTGTAGATTTTTGAACCTATTTCAGACATGTTAGTCAATATAAGATGTATGCATTTCACATTAAAAAAAAAAAAAATAAATTTTCATAAAAGGTAAAACAATTTTCAATAACTATAATGGATTTGCCCATATATAATGTTCTTTTGAACTTTTTTTCATTCATAATGATAACATATGATAATCTGTATTGTCATCATAAGGATTGCTTTTTCTTGTCAACACATTCCAATCATAGTTTTGAATATCTCATTATATTTTTTGTCGTACTTTTTGCGCTATGAAAGTTTTAGTATGTATAGAAGCTTACAAATAATTCTACTACATAAATATATAATAAGGTTTATAAAAGAACCATGTATAAATAAAACTTTATGCTCATTTTTGACAATCAAAAGAACGTAGCGCAAGATCTTAGCACAATTTATTTATTTCTGTAGCATTTTTGATTTGGTGCAGTAAATATGAAACTAGAGCGATCTTATGAAACACGCGCGTCGGTTTACAAGTCTTTATAGTCGGTATTTAATACTCTCTTAAACAATTTTATTATAACAGTAAAATATTAAAGCAATTTGCTATGTGTACATATAATGTGTACACACATTGTATGTATGTACACACACGCAACAAAAGCGTGTCAAAGAAAAAGCAATCGCAAAGTGATTTCTAAAACAGATAATGGTACACATTGTAACTTTCACTTATTTTAGTCGCTTGTAACTTGTTTTACAACTAGGTGAAACATACTCTCAAACAACTTTCGATAAACTCTTCGATTGTGATCACACCATCCTGGTTGAGATCGAGTTTTCTGAAAACCTTGTCCAGCTGTTCTTTTGCCTTTTTCTCTTCTTCGGCATGATGTCGCCTGCCCATGAGCTCGTGGACTGCCGTTACAACTTCACCCAATTCACCCTTGGTAATGCAGCCGTCACCATTTATGTCGTACAACTTGAAAGTCCATCTCAATTTCTCATAAATGCTACCCCGCAGCAAAGTCGATAGTGTTACAAGAAGATCCTGCAATTTTCAGGATCATTTATATAAAATTTGTGCTCGCAGTGTTATTCTAAATATAACAAAATGGTTTCTTATAGCATACAGTTTATTTTGTAGAAGATGAAAGAATTTTGTTTATGTCTTCAATAAGTTTCAATAAGTTTTTTTTTATGTAAACATGCAATATTCGTAAAATAATGACTGATCAACCGTATGCATTGGTAGAAAGCGCGTATTTTTACCCATATATGCACTGAACTGCATTTAAACAAAAACAAGTACAGCAAAATCTCCAGTGATTCATCTCTTTACGATTGAGCCGTTCCTCTCTTCTATTTTCTCCATTTTTTAGCACGAGTTATTCAACACTATTGTGCATACACGAATGTAGACAAGTGAGGTAAATTTAAGTTTTTAGTACCTCTCGGGTTTAACAATCTGCCCATACGTTAGTTTGCAATTGACTAAGTGTATATTTCAAATATTCATTTAGAATCTCAAGACAGTTTTTACAAGACCTACAGTTTTAAATAAAATCCAAACCCATCTAATGCTAGTTCTATGATAGAAATTACTGATGATTGTACAATACTTATTGGAAATCCGATACAATTTGCTTTTCATTCAATACATATGCGTAAATCTCTACAATCGAATAAAAAGAGACTGATCTGGAAAAAAATCCTAAAATGAATTCGAACTCAGGATTTTTGAATGTCTTGCAGTAAAAACAAGATCAATGGGCCGTTCACTTATTGACCAGTAATTGGCATTAACATGCTTTTAACAGAAAAGAAGAAGCTGGCCAGAGTGGTAGCACGAGTGGAAAGTTACTCATCAAAATTAATTCCTTTTATTTAAGAAAACAAGTTAAGACTTAAAAAGAACAAACAAGATTTTACTAATTATTCGTAAATAATACAATATAAATCATCTATTGTTTGCCATTATTTCTGAATATCTGACTTCAGATTTAATTTCAACGACCAAAGAAACCTAGATATTTTTCATAGAAATTAAAAGATTTCTTACATATGTGGTCCGCCATATTAATTCGGCCATTTTGAATTTTTGACAAGGTTGAAAAGTAACGCGGTACTTGTAACGTCGTTACTGTTACAGTTACTTTTTTTGATAACTGTAACGGTAACGGCATTACAAATGTTTTTTATAACTAAAAAAGTACCTTTGTCACATTTTTCGGTAACGAATAAAGAATTTAACAGTTACTTTTATCGTTAAATTTTTCGAAATTTGTACTTGATGTAATTTTATTTTATTGTGTAAGAGTTATGAGATTTGTATAAATATAAAGAGAAAAAGAGAAAGTGTGCGAGAATATAGGCTGCGTCCCGAAATTCATTGCTAGTTGTCTGCACTAGAAATCTATAGTTTGCATCACATATATTATAAGGTATTACGTAGCAATCGCAACAAAATGGAATCATTTTATCTTTAACAATCACTATTAAATTGAGGGTCTCCTCAGGCTCATGAAGTTTATTAAACTTAATAAATGAATAAATAATTAGTTTTAAGGAGCCGTTCGTAGGATGCTGTGCGAAAATATGTCTTATATGTGTTGTGACGTTTTTCTGAGTTCTTACAAGTTTCTCGCGTTGCCTCACCCGAAACGGAAATACGAAATCGGGACACGGACGGAAGTCCGCGAGATCGGGAACGTCTGTATTGGTAGGAGAGAAAAGAGTTGTAAAACGAGCACACCACCGCGCCGAGCCGACGAATCCTTTGTGAAAATTCTGGGCGCCAGACGCGTGACCGCGTCAAAATCTGCGTCGCTCGACACAACGGGCCGACTAGCTCTATTTTAACGGAGAGGGGTTAGGTTTGTACGATAGATAACCAAGGCTGTCCCGAACGAATCTCGGATTATACTCGCAATTAGCCACACTGCAGATAGGAGTAACAATTAACAATTTAGTATAATACCGCGGAGTAAGAGACACGTTTACAAAACAAAAAAAAATACAAAAATAGAGTTAGCAATTTTCACATAGCCATGCGGCGTTCACACGCAAGTAAATAACAAATAAAGAACAAAAGAAAAAAAATAATAAAAAGAAATTAATACAACAGTTAACGGTATTTGCTTCGCAGAAACGCAATTAATCGCGGGACCGAATCGATATAGAATTCGTAAGACCGGAAACTCTAGCGTCGTCCCTCTAGCTTAACTTCAACTAGATACTCTCGGGTGGCAGAATAGACCAAGCGTGTTGATGCAAGCATTCAGAAGGATAAAATCAGCCAGAAAGGTTACTCTAACAAAATCGTGCGCTTACAATTAGACGTGCAAAGGCGGGTCGCAAGGCGTAATATCTACGCCGTCGGACTTACTTGATTTTGCAGGAGTTGGTCGGGCTTACGCCGCGTGCATGCACGGCACGAAGCTCTCGCCAAATTCCTGTCACTGATCTCAATGTAATTCAGCAGCCAGTTATAATGCAGCAAGCACGTGCCAATTAGCACACCGGAGTGAAGCGCTCGCGAAATCGGAAGAGCTAGTTCAATTTAGCACCGAAAATAACTGCAAAATTTGCCTGTTTAAAACGGCGGGTCCGCTGGGAAATTCGCCTCACGGAACGAGAGCTATGCACTCTCCGATCCGATAAATCTCCAGATTCAACGATATTCCCCTTCAGTTCGGTACGACAGCGGTATTCTTCTGCTTTTCGGTACGATAATCGGCTTGCCTTTCCAAGGCGGCCGGGATCGAGGCGGTACAATAAATCAGGCGAATTCCAAGGGCCGAGCATACGCTAGCAAATGCGACAGCGTATTCAAGGTACGCTCGCGACTAGCTGAACGATGCCCGTCGCAAGAGGTTCGCTCGAAGATACTTACACGCACACAAGACGGGCGCGAATATTCTTTCTTGTTGCTCTTCCGAATCACACCCTCTTTACTCGAGGCAGATTACTCGGAAAATCCACACCAACATGCTTCATACAATGTGATAGCGGTATGGTAAAGTAGCGTGCAATGTCGCAATTAGCGACTTACTTAAATAAACGAACGATAGATCCGCTAGATTGCCAGGTAACGGTACGATATTTGGTACAATAATCGGTACGGTATTCGGTACGATATTCGGTACGATACCTGATACAAGAATATGGCAGTCGCGAAACGATACGATAGACAAACACTTTTACACGCAAGACACAACAAAATGACCAGGATGCTGCTTGGCGCGTTACCGGAACTCCAGGGCTTGTAATACTCAATAAAGTAATTACGCGAGACGCACTTAAACCTACAAACTAATACTACAAAGCCCCGTGAAGTCCGATTCTAGCCGCTGCCGCAAAATTTGAAATTATGACAAAGATTATGTCCTTGCCGGTATCAACACGCGAGATTCAGCGACTAGTCTCGATACGAGACTCGAGTAACGCGGATTCGTGGCTCACAATCAAACGAGGGCACTTCACCGTACGTCGTCGTCGCTCTCCATCCAGAAAATTCGCTAAGTTCGTCGTTGAACATTGGATCGTCGGTGCCGTCAGTGCGTCCGTCGTCCACAGTAGTTGCGACTAAGAGAACGAGGATCGCGATCAATTCAAGGTCGATGCGTCTGAACGCGCTAGGGTCGCGTAAGGTAGGTCGCTGCGGCCAATCAGATCGCGAGAGGCACTACACGCAACGCGATGCTCGCGCTCGGCGGCAGGACCCGCGGCCGCGAAATTCAAATAGATTACCGGGCCCTCACTAGCAAAAATGTAAGCAGCAGATATTTCCAAGCGTTGGATTTCGCATATATAACAAAGATGCAGCATGCGGTAGCGCAGCAGGATAGCAATTGCAGGTTAGCAGCGAAGGTTTGCAGCAGGCCTCTCCGGCGACGAAAGGAAGGTCAAAGCTGTCTCCATCGTTGTTCGTATTTCTTCCTCGGCTACACAGCGTCGAGGTTCGCTGTATTTGTCGCAGTCCTTTCCTGCGCCGCTTGTTCTTTGAGACTCACCTCTCTGGCCGTCGTGCGAGTGCCTAGCTGCGACTCCACGCACGCCTTTCTCTTCCGCTTTTTCTCGCTTTTATCCAACAATCGACGGCTCCGGATAACTCTTCCAGTAGTGTGTTCTCGGTGTGGTGAAGCGCCAAGAGCATACAAAAAAAAAAAAAAAAAAAAAATAAGCGACTAAATCTAGCGCACGCAAGCAAACCCTGGAGGATCTTGGCGCTTTTTAGACGGCTCGCACTCCCAGACTTCCGCAATCATTCGAGCTTTTGTGGCGAGGGAGAAGCGACGCGATTACCACGTCACAGTGTGTACACATATATAAGTAAATTATACACATTGTGACGTGGTGTTCGCGCCGCTTCCCCCCTTGCCACAAAACGTATCTTTCGAGGGAGTCCCGAAGTGTGGGCCGGTCTTAAGCGCCGGGATCCTCCAGGGCTTACACACCGTATTACGTTTTAGCTGCTTATTTCTTTTGGTTTTGTATTTTTTCTAATATGTAAAATTGGCGCTTCACCCCCCGAGGGCTCACCCCGCCGAAGGACATTGAGGGAAACGAGTAGACGGGAAATCTAGCAAGGAACAAGGCGCGAGCCAGAATCCAGGGGATCGAAGGAGCGCCAGTGGCAGCGCGCAGAGGCTACGGTCCTGACTTAGTCGGCAGGCTCAACCCTTTACGCTAGGGAGCGCAAGCGGCACGCGAACGACAGCGTCGCCAAGCGGCAGTAACCCCCTGCAACGATTAGCGGGCCAATCTGCCTTTTGAAGCCAGCTACCAGCTCGGAGGAGCTTCGGAGCCGAAAGAAGACCTTCTGGAGGTCCACCCCAGCCAGCCGAACACGATGCGATCGGACAGACAAAGGAGGAACTCTGCAAAGGGGAAACACGTTCATAATTTGCGGGTCGGGCTCTTGTAGCTCGCGCGACCGCGAGTGCCGCGCTTGATACCACGCCGCACTCTGATTGGCTGGCGAGGCCGACCCCACGCGATCCTAGCGCGCCCCGGCGCATCGACCCCCCCGAATCGATCGCGATCCTCGCTCTCTTGGTCGCTAACCCTTGTACAAGTCGGACGCACGGAAGGACTCACGGAAAGTACCGTCTGGAGAATAACTGCCAGGAAAGACGTTATGTCCCAGGACGACGATATCCGGTGAGGTGCCTCGTTTCTTGCAGCCAAGAATCTGCGTGCCGAGTTCTGTGTCGAGGCTAGTCGCCAAATTTTCGCGTTGTGTGTCGGGCAAGGACGAAACCTTTACCATATTGGTTCTTTTTTGGACGGCGGCTAGAATCGGATTCACGGGGCTTTGTGGTACTACTTTGTAGGCTTAAGTGCGTTTAGATTTCGCGAGTATTTTGTTAA